CTTTTCAAGTTAGCCTATGTGCGACATTTTCAGCAGTGTTCTTAAGGCTACCTTGTTTTTGTGCCACTTACTAGTTTTGAACCCAGCTTCACTATCATCTAGCTGTGATTTGGGGTTTATATATTAACTTCTCGGAGCCCCAATTTTCTCATCTTTAAAATGAGAATAATGATACCTAGTTTACAGGACTGACATAAGGAATAATTGAGATAACACACGTAAAGGGTTTAGCACAGTGTCTGGCACATAGGAACTGCTTCATTAAGCTATTATTATTAAAGCACCGTGAGCATCCATTTTGGAACATTGTTCAGAGCTTTCCTAGGGATTAAACAAGATAATACATACAAAAAAGAAGAGTACCTAGTAGGTAATAAATCTTTAATCTATATGAGTCACCATTATTTTATTATTGTACTGAGGAGTTTATACTTTCCCCTTGGGGCAGTGGGAGCCCCCTGAGCAGGTTTTAAGTGGGGTCATCAGATTTGCATTTCAGAAACCTCAGCCTGGCTGCAGGCTAGAGGATGAGCTGTGGAGGTGGGGCTGGGAGGGAGGCAGGAAGGTGCAGGTGGCCTGCCCAGCACCACAGGGATGGGCAGAGGTGGAGAAGACTGGAGAGAGACCTCAGGGATGAGGAAGCTGCGGGTCTTGGGCAGAGCGCTGTGGGTGGGGAGAGGCGAAGAGCTGGTGGGGCGGGGGGGGTGGGACGAGGTCATCCCCACTTTTCCAGTTTAAAGGATTGGGAGGACGATCGTGCTGGGAGCGAAGCAGGCTTGCGTGAGCAAGAACGAGGGCGGAGCTGGGGTCGTCCAGGTGGAGACCTGTGGTGGGCGCTTTGCCGAATGGGTCTGCAGCTCAGGAAGGAGGTTGAGCTAGAGACAGACGTCCCGGTCATCAGCCCGGGTCGCATTAAGACGTGTTAGCACGTGAGCTGCACAAATCAATGCCTTCCTACTTCAGAGGGGTTTTCCCCCAGTACTTCATAACTTTTACTGTTCATATCAAAATTCCCAAGAAATCAAACATTGGAAAATGATTTAAAAAAAAAAAAAGAATGCATTTGACTGAAGCATCAATCAAACGCCCCACTTGGCTGCGCATGTGATATGTGTGCTACTTGTATGTAAGGTTGCCTGGGGTCCATCCGAGGGCGGCAGCAGGCAGAGGGCGGAGTGATGGTACCAGTGGTCATAGCTCTACTAACATCACCATTCTGGAAGCCGTGGCAGCGTGTCTCACTCTGCACTTGCTCTTGCAGCTTAATCACGGCCATCTAGGGCCGGGAGGGGCCTCTGGAATTCACAGATGCCTTCCTCCAGCCTCAAAACAGACCACTCCGGCCAGGACAGGGCTCCTTGTAAAGCTTTCCTCTTAGGGGGCACCGAGCCCTCTTACCGGATGTTTCCTGAGCACCTCGCTTGAGGCTTTGCCTTTTTCTTGGTGGGGTGTGGGAAGGAGCCAACAGGCAGCTTGCTGGCAGCCAAAGATTAGGGAACGGCAATGGCATGTGGGAGCCCATTCCTGGTTACAGGGAACACCTTGACAGAGTTCATTTCTCTGGGTCAGGTTGTTCTGATCCTCAAGCTCCAGTTTGAGTGACAAACCAAGTGACGATCCTGGGCATCAGTGTCCCAGATGGCACAGTGCTCCATGGCAGCAGCAGTGCGGCCCCCTTGGGGACCTGGTCTGTTGGCCAGGCCGGGGTAGCACCTGCAGCCTTCTCAGTGTTCTCAGAGACCCCCCCACCCCCTGCCGCCCTCCACCCTGCTAGCCCCAGCCAGCTAAGCTGGATTTAGGAATTAGGGCACAGCTCAGGAGCCTGGGATACGCACACTCATCACCAAGCCTGTCTTGAGCAAGTGGCTAGAAAAATGCAAAATCAGAGCCATGGAGGCAGAGCAGCCTGTGTACAAAACACAAAAGCACCTAAAGGCAAGGAAGGCTGAGTGTGATGCTCTGTGTGTGGAGAAAGACACGTGCGATTTATACAAATGCTACCTGCAGTGTTGGAGTAGAGGTAACAACTGGAAAGCAAAGGACGTGAGAGACCCGAGGGGAATGTGGGCGCTGCAGCCGTGCGTGAGTGTGTGCACGCAGATTTAGAAGGGGATTCGCCCGTGGCGGAAGCATTGTCTAGTTCCTGAGACAAGTGGAGTGACAAGTAAGGCCCCTTCCAATTCTAAGATGAATACCTCGTTTTGTTGGTGAGTGATGCGAAAGCCAGTAGCACACAGACCGTGAGCGTCACATGTTGTCGTCGTACCCTTCCTGGCCTGTGAGCAGCAGTGGCCATTTCCATCATGGTGTCGTCCTTGGGGGGAGGTCCTATGCTGTCAGGGCACAAGGTGGCGGCACCCTCCCCCCCCAGGAAGACGCCCAACGAGAGCCTCTGGGCCACCGTCTACCCT